GATAAATGCTTAAAAATTTTAATGTCTTAGCATCATGAATGTTATGCTCAAAATGATGTATTATAAATGCTTGAGTATCATATATGATATGCCCATAGTGATGATTGATTTATTTTTGGTATCATGCATGAAGGATGAAATGTAATGTTTTGAAATTGTGCATGTTTTAATTTGAAACTATAATGATGCATAAACATATTGAAATAAGATTGATATATTATCTTTGTCATGATTTAAAAATTGATATAAAGGGAAAAGAATTATAAAATTATATTCTTCCCATCTTTTTTACAATGACAAAGGGAGAGAAAAGTTGCTAACTTGCACATCGCAAAGAAAAGCAAAAGCTGCTAGTTTGCACATTATAAAGAGAAGCAAAAAGCTTGCTCATCTCAAAAGATGTAAAATTTTATTAACTTTCATATGTATAAAATTTGCTAGCTTGCATGCTCTAAATGTTAGGAAAAGAGTCGGCACTAAGAGGGGGGTGAATTAGTGCAGCGATAAAAATTACATCGATTCAAAACTTCATTGCGATTAAATCCATTTTCGACGAAAAACCATTTCATAAAGGTATTAACTTTGAAAGCATACAGAAGAGCATAGTGGATGTAAAGCAAGCAAAGTGGTTTGCAGTAAAATAAATTACATAAGAGAAACGCAAACCAGATTTTTATAGTGGTTCGATCGTCGTGACCTACATCCACTTCGTCAATTCCTCTCCCGTCGAGGCCACCGGCATCCACTATCGGCCTTCTTTCAATGGGCGAAGACCAGCTACCCTTTTACACCCCTCTTCTCATTTTCATAGGTTTAGGAGATAACCTTTTACAATCCTCTTTTATAAGGTATCCCTCTCACGCCTCTCTTAGAACTCTCTCTAAGCTTTGGGAGAATGGAACTCAACTTTCTAAGGTTTACAACTTTAGAATTATAGGGTTTTGCTCAATATTTCTTACTTATCCATGCAGGAATAGCTGGGGTATCTATAGGCCCCAAATGGGTTAAATTTGGAGCCCAAAATTCAAACCCTCGAAATTTCACGGTACAAGCAGTACCACAGCCTACACTGGGCGGTACCACCACCTGCAGCTTGATACTGGGCGGTACCACCACCCAGACTAGTGGTACCACTGCCCAGACAGTCTCGAGGACTGAGTTTGAGCAAGACCACCACCCAGACTGGCGGTACCACCGCCTGACACAGTCTCGAAGATTGTGTCACGACGATTTCACCTGTTTGGTCACTGTTTGGGCCTTTCTCTTAGCCCAACACAGCTCGAACTTAGCCCAACTATCTTCTAATTGGGTTGGCTCAATTCTAATCCCTATTATATGCTAACTATGAATTTTAAGACATTTACTAAGCTAAACAAAGTCCATAAGTCTAGGTTTCTTCCGGTGAACTTCCGACGATCTCTCGACAATGTTCTGCGGACTTCCAGCAAGCTCCTGGACTTCATGATGATCTTCTTGACAAGTTTTGATGAGCTTCTTTGGCAAGCTCTGGGACTTCTTGGTCAATTCCGACAGAACTTTCGATGAACGTCCGGACTTCCGACGAACTCTCGAACTCCCAATGAAATCGCATTCTTGACTTTGAGACTTCATTTTGCTTTATGCCTTGCTATCGTAGTTAATCCTGCATATGTAAAAATACACTTCGATCTAGATAATTAATACTAAGTATGAATCATGTTGTCCAGCATGTCATTGGTCCATCAACGCTTCGTCCGATTCTTCGGCGCATCGTCCTCTCTTGCGGCCTATTGCCCAATCGGCTAGTTGACTCCACAACTCTGATATCCTTGGCACAATATCCACTCTTCTTGGCCCGATACCTGAATCCATGGCCTGAAGCCTTCTGTCGATACGCCGATCGATCTTCTGGCTCAACGTCCAATCTTCTAACATGTTCCACCGGCCCAATATGATTCTTCCTGCTTTAATTGTCTCATCTTAATCGAAGCATCGTGCATCACTAAAAATACAGAACAAATCATAAATACTTATCAATTGGTTTCATCATTAAAATATGAGATTCAACACTAAAATGATACAAAATTGCTAGCTTGCACTTATCAAAAGAGAAGAAAGAACTTGCTACCTTGAACATCACCTAGCTTGCAATCTTGAGAAACCAAAAGTGCAAACTTGTAAAATTTAGTGATTATGTATGTTATAAAGTGATGAAAAATTTACTATGTTGTAAAACTTGCATATCTCAAAAACTTGATAGTTGTACTTCTCCTTTTTATTAATGATAAAGGGGGAGAAGTTACGATGACAATCATACAGAGAATGATGTATTAAAATTTTGATTATGCATGATTGTATAATGACGTATTATAAATATTTATAATGAAATATTGCTTTGACTTGAATTCAAGGTTCTATCAATATGGCATATTGATAGGGGGAGTTAAGGTTAACTCCGTCATTAATTAATTATCATCATCAAAAAGGGGAAGATTGTTAAATCTCTGATTTTGATGATGAAACCAATTGATAGTGTTTGTGATCTAATCTATGTTTTGAGTAACGCAAGACTAGCTTCAATCAGGGAGAGACAATTAAAGCAAGAAAAATCATGTTGCGCTGGAGTAGAACATGTTAGAAGATTGGACGTCGAGCCGGAGGATCGATCGACGGATCGATAGAAGGCCTTAGGCCATGGGATCAAGCATCGGGCTAAGAAGAGCAAAAATTATGCCAAGAAAATCGAAGTTGCGGAGGTCAACTGGCCTGATTGGGCAATAGATCGCAAGAGAGAGCGATGCGCTGAAGAATCGGACGAGGCGTCGATGAACCAATGACATGTCGGACAACATTTGATTAGCTTTGTAATAATTGTCTATATCGAAGTAGGTTTTAGGCGTAATTAGGTTAGGATTTGGCCAACTCAATTAGAAGCCAATTAGGCCCAAGTTTAGGTTGTGTTGGGACAAGTAAAAGGCCCAAATAGTGACCCAACAAGTGGAATCGTCGTGACACAGTCTCCGAGATTGTGTCAGGCGATGGTACCATCAATCTAGGCGATGGTACCATCGGTAAGGGCGATGGTACCGCCTAGTGATAGTGTGTCAGGCGGTGGTACCGTCAGACTAGGTGGTGGTACCGTCTAGTGTCAATGCAAGCGGTGGTAACGCCCGTACCCTGAAATCTCGAGGATTTGAATTTTAGCTCCAAGTTTTGAAGTCATTTGGGGTCTATAAATACCCCAACTATTCCTATATGGAGCAAGAAGAAAGGTAAACAAAAACTCTATGTTTCTAAAGTTGAAAACCCTTGTAAAGTGTAGAGTTCCTCCTCCTAAAGTTTAGAAATCATTATAAGGGAGAGTGTGAGGAAAGCTTTGTAAAACTGGTGTGTAAAGGTTCTCTCCTAAGCCTGTCAAAAGGAAAAAAGAGTATAAAATGATAGTTGATCTTCGTCTATTGAAGGAAGATCGTTAGTGAATGTCGGTGGCCTCGACGAAAGAGGAATCGGGAGTGGATGTAGGTCACAACGACCGAACTACTATAAAACTTGGTTTACATTTATATTCTTGTTATTTACCTTCATCGCAAACTGTCTTACTTGCTTTACTTCCACTACGCTTACGAACAAACATTCAATTTCAAGTTATCTTCTGAGATCGATTTTTATCGTACGAATATTTTTCAAACCGATGTTTTTATCCACCACACTAATTCATCCCCCTCCCCCCTCTTAGTACCGACTCGATCCTAATATTTATCATATTTAAATTATTTTTAATTAAAAATAATAAAAATTAATGATTCATACTCGAACCAAAACCGCTTGAATTGAAATTTGGCCCTGGGAGATTCGGTTCTGATTTCTAATTTTAGAAAATCGAACTGATGATTTTAAAACTAAAGGTAGGACTACTCGAGACTCCTTTTAACTTCAGTCTTTATACAAGTCCACTATTCCGCATAAACTCGACTTATCTTTTTGGACATCACCAATATCTGTCACATCACTTAGCAAAATCATGACAGTGAATCAAAATTTAGATTACTCTTGGTGAAGAGAGGAATGTATTGAATTGACTCAGTAGAGTGAGATATAGAAATGGATATTGCATATATATAATCTTATTAACCTCCTTGCATGAGAAATTTAACTAATTCCCAGCTTTCTTATTCGCGCATCGTAGATCAGGGGATGGGCAGATGCATGCTTGTTTGTGCAGATGAAAGCCAAAATCGCCTTCAAGAATGACGCATAGTTTACAGAATTCCTTCTCTATCTAATCCACTGTTGCCATATGGGCAAGGGAGCATGCACCTACTCGACTAAGTTAAGAGGAGAAGAAACAAGCACGTACAAAATTTTGTTTCTAACGACAATCCATAGCAATTCTGAAACACATTTAGTCCACAAGATTACAGAATATAAGATCACCAGTTCACAAAATCCAGATAGTCCAAAAGTAGAAAAAACAAATCACAGCCTTCTTTTACGCAGAGAATTTGTATGGAGTTAACATAAAATTCACAAAAAGACAAACCTCCAACTAAATTTCCAACAGCCTTACGGAGATGCATACTTCAATGAGCAGAAAGCCTTGTGGAGGAACAGAACCATTCCGCTTGAGAGGGGCACAAACTACAGAGACAACAGTGCTTCAACCTTCGCGATCTGTTCTTCTTCATTCTTTGGAGTAGGGCTTCTATTTGCTTCGTCGAAAAGATCATGCTTCCATTTTTCTGCCTGGAAACCACTCTCTCGGGACATATTTCTCTCACCATATCTTCCTGTGAATCTTTCCCTACCCCTCACGTCCCTGCCACCATGCATCTCCCTTGACTGATAGCCAGCTCTGTTGATTTCATTTCTTTGCAGATATCTGTCTCCTCTCTTATCATATCTATCATCAGCTCGATTGAAACATCTCTCAGGCTTATCACCACGTGAAAAGTTGTTTCCCTTTTCTTCCCTTCTTACAGCACCAAGCATTTGATGATCATGGTGGTTTCTTGATTCTGGTCCGGTGGGAGGGGCAGCCACAGAATCTTTTTCTGTAGCCATTTTTCTTTCACTGAAAGCAGGTCTTTTCCTGGGAGCTGCTGCCTCAACTTCCAACTCATAAAATCCATCATGTCTCCATTCATTGTTGTCACCTGCATGAGCTCTAGTCCGGCTGTCGTATTTTCTCTGCATGTCAGATGCCTCTATCTTGTCCACCCTGTCACCAGTCTGCTCCTTTGCATTATTCCTTCCTTCATCTTTATAAAGACACAAAATATCAATAAGTCAAAGAAATAAGACATGAAAATTAGAGGACACAGCTGATTGACACACATTAGACGATTAATTACCAGCATCTCTGCGAACATAGCTTCGACCACCATGCCCAGCACCGCCACGTTCGTCGTGCTGCATAGGTAGCCTTAGATTGTTATATAAAATGAGGTACTTGAAGGCATGGATCCGAACAAGAACCCCGCTACATCAGGAGGAAAATAGGTTTTGTATGCAATGAATAACAAAATTAAATTAACAAAACTGAGTTACAAGGCAAAGTTGCTTCCACAGAACTTCAACAGCATAAAGGCAACATTACTTATCTAATTAGGAAATGAAGACCAACACCCCAAAACCACCAACCCCACCCCACCCCCCCCAGAAAAACAAAAAACAAAAACAAAAGTAACACCCCCTCTCTTGTTCTTTTTCCTTCTTCACCTTCCTTTTTCCAACCAAAAGAACTTAGTGTTTTTTTTTTTTGCAATATCTGATGACAAAATTGAGACAATGCTAAATGAAACACAAATAATATAAGAATATAGTTTGTATGCCCATATTGACATAGTTGTTGAATGCATTACTAGCATTTCGCAGGTAGGAACAAGCTAAAGTTGGCCCAACAAGACTAATATAACAACATGATCATATTATTGGGCACCATTGCTTCAGTTATGTCTCTCAAAATTGCATCTTAATGAAGACACATGCATATGCTAAAAGTAAAAAGAGGAACCCGAAAGTCATGGGAGAAGCCACCGCAGAGAAACCATCACCCGTGAATATTTTACCTGGAGAAGTAGGACCAGCTCGTTACAGCCTTACCATAATAAACATGCACTTCACTACAAACAAATACTAAAAATTCAAAAATAAGTTACACTAGCATAAAGAACTAGGCCTGCAACACTGATATCAATACAACATGGTTCCCCTTGGCATCATGATAACACAGTTGCCCTCTTGTTAGAAAATGGTGTACATAATTCACTGCCAGTTAACCTCTCCTAAAGCAAAGTTTTGGTTAATGACTAGGAAAGGGAACAGAGTGGGTGTTTTTAAAACATTAACATAAACAGTAACATTACTAACACAATACATTAAACAGATACACATTGATCCTGGAATGCTACAGCAAATCATAATGTCAGAACCATGTGGAACCTGCTTCATAGTTCCTTCCTCAAAATCAAGCCTTGTTGAGGACAGTATCTGGTTAAACTAAAAGCAGCCATGTCTTATTTTATTGTTGCCAACAGAATTTTCTATGTTTTATTCTAACTTCTCACACCACCAATTCTAAGTGAGTCCTAATTGATTCACCTCATCCCTTTAGATGTATCCATATCATCACAAAAGGTTCCCCCTTATTTCATCCTAGATCAGAACTACACTTAATTATTCATGAATGTAAACCTTTATTATTCTGTCTATGATAAAAACCATCAATATCTACTTAAATATATTATTTGAGACACCAGATTAGGGTTAACTATGTGAGCCATACCAGCATCACCTTCCATGTATATGATCACATGCTTTATTATACGGGAGCTATTACATCAAATCTTTAAAAATAAACAATCATCTTCAATCCTACAGTACAAATTTGCACCATATTAGTTGGCAGTCTGTACCTGTTTGATATGCATAAAAAGAGTCCTATGCTACAAAACCACCACGTCAGCCATTTAATTGTTTTTGCTCTATTGGTACAAAATAAATACCTCTAAGCCATCCCATTACTTTCTAGTGGTGAACTTAGTACTAATTTTCTTTTTAATCCTTTCTTCATCCACAAAGCTATCCCTAGAGCCATTTTACTGGTAATAAGTTTCAAAATACAAGTCCAAACATAAAAGGAAGCTCAACATCAGTAATCATTCTTTCCTTGAGATAAGACATTAATTGTACAGACAAGATACTGATGCCAAGGTCCTTGTATGATCAAAGTACATTCAATTGTTCTTCAACTCTATGGTTTCTTAAGGAAGCAGATAGGATATGCTGATTTAGAAGCTAGCTTGAGCAACTGCTACATCCAATGTTGCAAATGAACCAAAACTGCTGCATTCTTAATTATTCCTTTTTATCTCAAAATTTTTAATTTTCTTTTCAAAACCCATATCAGTCAACAGTAACATTCAGTAAAGCCTCAAATGGAAAGTGACGTAAATACCCTCAAGTACTTTTTTAGTCAAGGTGGAACAGAGAATTCTGTTAGGAACATGTTAAACTGTAGATACAGAAAAAAAAAGTGAAAAAAAAATAAGATTCAAGAAGAAGCTATGCTTGAAGATGCATCCCCCTTCAAAATAAAGACTGACCACACCAGATGCAGAAAAAGTTGTCCAGACAATAATTTCCATATGAAGAGACTTTTAAATCACAATATCACGTCAAAGGGGCTGCAATGACAAGGGGCAGAACATATACAACATAAAACAAAGATATTACTGAAATCAAATAACTGCAAACAATTATCTCAGATACAGATGCAAAAAACATGCACAGGCAATCTGGTTCATTAAAAAACAAAGATTAACTTCTTGGAAAACAAATTTCATGTATCAACCAATTTTCAGACCTGAAAGTGGGATCGAGCCCATGGTGCATCCATTTGGTCAGATTGTTTGGTATTATCAGGATCAACCTTCCTGTGAGAACCATCTTTAAGATTTGCAGACTTCACCTTGGTATCAGTTGCTGAAGAATTCTCAACAGGCAAAGCATCTTGAAACCGCCTACGAGTTTTCCGCTCCTTATTATCATCAACATTCAAATCATGATTACCAGAGAATTTTCTCTCAGATGCTGATTTTCCATCTCTTTTTGGCCTTTTAGGACTTTAAAAAAAACGAAAGAAAAAGTAGTTAGCTAAATAAACAACCTAAATAAGCAGCTACACCATCTCCTAATGATGAATGCAGAAAGAAATACCCAAAGCTAGCAAAGGAAAAAATCTTAGTTACTTTGGCTAAAGTGATACATTTATAGTTTGAACTTTTTTAAAATATATATTCTTGTTGTTAAAGGTTTTCATGCAAATATTCATCAAAAACATCATAGCTAAGAAAATTATATCCACATGCAACTAAAACTGAAGTAAACAACACTATAGAAAAGACAAACATAAGATTTTTCACAGCAATTTAATTGTAATGTGCTAAGGGAAATTAAAGATTCTTAGAAGTCACTAATGACTAACCTAATGTAAAATTTCTTACATTACCTAAAGTAAAACTTTATACATATAAAATGGTGAGCTACAAAGAAAAAGAAGGCTCAACAGCCTGAATAAATCTTAGCATTAAAACATAATAATTTAATATTTAAAAAGGTCAATCACTGCTCTACTAATAATAAACTGGACAGATTCATTCATGAGCAGACATGGATGTAGTAGAGGGAACCATGATAAATGAAAAACTGATTCTTTTATTACAAGATGAAAAACACTTAGGATGACAAATATAGCGACATCCTATGTAATACAGACAATAGTCTCACCAACATAGTTTCTTCTAACAAATACACATCATGACAAGGAGTCAAATTCATTGTGGTTATATGGCAACATACAAATGGCTCATCTAGTCAACCATTTCAAATTTGCTTATTGCAGAAATATGCTTGGTATGTATGGACAATTTATTTCCGTGTAGTAGCATTGATAATGTGGGTACTCAGAAAGCTATGATTGTTTGTAAATGTTATCCAACAGAACAAAAGGTATAGTAAATAAATACATGTTCAATAACATCCACATTATCTGTTGGTTTGGTTGTCTTGGACAAGCATACAAGTGTCGCTCAATGACCGTAAAAAGTACCTGGTAAGCTGACTATATGCTAACTTCTTTAGTGCTAACTGCCTTTACAGTTTAATTAGACAAATGAAAACTTATCTAACATATCATAATATTAGACAATAAGAAGTTTAGAGAGTTATTTCTAAGACTGCAATTTGAGGGTCTATGGACAAAAATGTCAAGGGTTTTATCCTGCAGTCACAATCAAATCTAACATGCTTTGGTTGCAAGGAAATTATTGGTAAACAAAAAAAAAAAACAAGGAGCTTTCCCAAGGAAACGAAAAGCTGAAACTTTCATATGTTTTTCTTTTAGGGAACTGAATATAAAATTAAATACCCATACAATCCTAGAGTTCTCAGTCAACAAATCAAGATTCCGAAAGACATGTACAGTGTTCTATTTCTCATGCTTCTTGCAAAATATCAAAAGAAGGGTCATTCTCTTTATACAATGTTTGTGCCTCTTCTTCTAGGCTTGTCTCCTACAAAAAAATTTCCTAACAGCTAACTTTCGAAAACCCTAACAATGCCTAACTAAAACCACCTTTCTTGCGACTAAACGCAGGTTTTTAGATAGCTATCACCGACTTAACCTAATATCGTAACAAAAACGCGGAAGAAAGAGTCCAAGAACTCAAATTGCAGCGTCAAGATTTCATTTGAGAGGGAGGTGAGGAGGGGACACCACCTGGGTTCCCTTTCCCTTTCCCTTTCTCTTTCCCTCTCCCGTTCCGATCGTGAGTGGTGACTTCTGCCACCGTGATCGCGGCCCTCGCGTCGGGGCATCGAGTCGCCTCCGGTGCCGCCTTCCCTTCGCCTCCGCTCCTCCGGCATCTTGGTCGCAAGAAAGATGGGATCCGAGAGCACCGGTCGTCTAGTTAGGGCTTCGGGCGTACCGTTTATAGTGCCGGCCCGACCCGCTCCCGTCGGACCGTCATTTGGACCCAACCGGGTTCGATTTTCGTGGATCAGGAGCTAAATTTTCACTTTAATAGATTATTAGCACCTGTCACGCACGTGATATCAAATTTAATTTTATTCACATATATAATCATCATATAATAAGATAATTATGTATCTGCGATAACAACCGTGATGGTATTCACAAATTTCATCCAAATTGAAAACCAATTCCAATACATATTAATCTATTCAAATATATCCACATTTCAATTTCAGGAGGCTGATTTAAGAGGACAAAATACATTGAAGTATCCAAAAATCTCAATCGGCTGCCGATTGAGAAGTTACTAAACTCGTACTTTCATCGACTCAATTTAAATATTATTCAAATATATTCAAACTATAATTCAATAATCCACTTTTTATTAATATTATTAAATTAGGAATTGTCAGTGAAAATAAATAGTGCATACACGAAATGAAAGAAGACAATTCACACAAAATATTTCACATTTAAGTGAAATATTGACATATTTCAATATGTCAAAATTATTTATAGATGACTAATATTATTCTTATAAAATAATATTATTATCTTTACGTATATAATCTTAAACTATAATGATATTTAAAATAATATAATCATATTTCATCATATAATTATTTGAATTAGATTCTTGATTATCTAAATCTCATTCATTATAAATATTTTTTAATATCATTTATAATTAAATTTTTAATATTATTTTATAAGTTATTGGACTAATTCACTTTGGTAGTTATTAGTCAAATAAAACTTAAGGATATAAGTTATAAATAATATTCATCAAATATCTTTTAATCTAATTTATGTAAAATTAATTTAATAATAATAAAATAATAATCATAATAATTATTAAATATTAATCAGTATTTAAAAAAAAAATATGATAAATATAATCATGATAAAATATAAATCATAACTTTATATGAAAAATAAATATTATGTCGTAATTTTAAACATATACATATGAATAACTAAAAAATTTCAAAATATTAATTAGAATTTAAATATCATAAATAATAAATAATTATCAATATTTTATATGAGAAAACTATAAAAAAATTATTATTTATATTTTTTAATTCCATATGGTACCTTAAATTAAACCGATCAACCATATTTAATTGGGTAGGCCTAAAATTGGGCTAAATATTAGCCCAATTATGTCAATCAAAATTAAAGTTAACAAAGTCACAAATTGATTAAATTTGGTGAAAATGAGATTGATCGAATCTAAATCTAATCAAGTAGTGAAAATATAATTAGAACCAAGTCTGATCAAAATAACAGGTCAAACTAGTCAATTTTAAAGTTGACAATACAAGTCAATAATATTTTATTTTTGAAAGGTAAAACTATAATTTTCTAGGATATATATTGAAAATATCTAATTTTTAAAATGTAGAATTATCAAAATGACATCGATTTGAATTAAAAGAATACATAAGGATAAAATTATAATTTTAATAGGTGAAACCTTAATCCCTTCTCTTGTCGTAGTATGTGTGAGCCATGCAACCATCATGGTGAGTAATCATCCATCGTTTGCACGTCGCTTACAATCATCGCAATGCATGGTCATCTATTACTTGCTTATTGTCAACTTGAATTCTCTCCACAGTCGATCGACAACTCCCTTTGTGAGACTTATGTGCGTGGCCGATCAGACTTCACCGATAGCTAACACTGTTTGATGATACAATATAGCCATCATTTGCTGATCATCATTCATAGGCAATCCCTCATTAGCATTTTCTTTTCTCATTCATGATTATCACCATTGCACGATCTTATCAACTGTGCATGTCCACGATTAATCGATGACCTTTACAGCAACCGTGATAGGTTATCGGAAGACAACATGTGGACTTCGACTAATCGATAATTAGAAGATTGAGAGGGACTTAAACGAATAGGAAGAGACTTCCCAATAAGAAGGTACTTGAGATGAGAGACCGGGCACTAGATGACCTGAGGATGAACTTGCTTCTTCGGAATCGAGACCAGGAAAAAGGCTTCTAAAAGATTAAGGTTCGAATCATCTATCATCGGTTACTAACATATTTCAAGAAGATCAAGAGACAATTCCGGTCGGTTACAAACTATTCCGTCTACAAGATCTACACGAGATACTCCTCTTCCGCTAGAGTTAGTATAAAAACATACTCAAAATTCAGGAGAAAAAAATAAAGCCACTAACTTGGACATTGGAGGGACCCCTTGAAGAAGCTTTCCCGACCTTTGTCTTTGTATAGGAACAATGAGAGAAAGAGCACACATTACCTCGAATAGCTTCTCACACTCGGATCAAGGGACCCATCATGCTGATATAACTATCAACGACAAATTTTCATAACTTTAATGATAGAATCGAAATCAAATAACAATAGAACAAGATTAGTATTACATATTTTTCGATATTATTCAAAAAAATTTATATGATATGTAAATATATCATCATCAAATTCGAAAGCTGTAGCAATATTGATCTACAACAAGAACTAAACTCGTATTTTTTCTCTTTTTTCATCGTTCACAAAACCATTATGAGCTTTGAAATAGGAATTACAGGAATTTGAGAATAGATTTATAATCTCAATTTCTGATGATTATCTTTTAGGAGTTTCTATCTTTTTATAAATGATAATCGATTATCTAGCATAGTAATTAGGAGAGTCTCTATTATCAAGATAATTTTCTAAAGAATTGTATCATGATTTATTGATCGATGATATAATTAAAATCTAATTAAATTTATAATATATTTTATCTAATTAAATAAAATTATATAATATCCAATACTTTCAATCATCCATGGCCATACAAATGATATTTTGGAGTATTAGTATGGTTCAAAGCAATGGCTGATATCAGTTGTTCTAGAAATGAAAACGAGAGAGGAGATAAATGGAAGAGGAGAAGAGTATGGAAAGTAGACATGAGAAATGTAGGCATGGAGTTGTCAACAGCGTAGCGTGGGTCCATTTGTCGCTGAAGCTTGCGAAGACCACGTCTGCTGCCGCTGGGGACGCCACCATGATTGACCAACGCAAGATTGATGTTGCTAGACTTTAATCTTGAAGGAGAAACTTGGTCCAAACCCATCAAAAGCCCACGGATGGCATCATCTATCTAGAACTTGGTTGACGTTGCCAGACTTGAATCTTGAAGGAGAAACTTGTTCCAAACCCATCAAAATCCCACGGATATCATCATCTATCCAGAACCCAGTCCACAGCACGCTTTTCCTCTGGATTCACTGAACACAAAGCTTGGTCCGAACCCGAGAACCATGTCTGACCCAGCTGAGATGGAACGATATCTAAGCCGCCAAAGAAAATATCAGTGAAGCTGGAGATGATCCGACCGTGGAACGAGGCTGAGAGATCCGCTCGCGTTCACTGGTTCATCAGTTGAGCCTGTTCTTCGTTTCCTCTCGCTTGCTTTGCTTCGTCTCTTCTCCCCCGCCCACAGTTCTCCATCGATTAAAGAAAGACAAAGCCAGCGATGCTCGTCTCCGCCGCCACCGGCGTCAGTAGTTCTCCACCGCCGCTGGTCCTGCCGTCCCCCGCATCTCGCTTCTCCGCCGGCGGCCGCTGCTTGAGCCGGAGGAGGCGCACACTGGACCGTCCCTTCTGCTGCAGGAAGAAGGAGAGGAAGCAGGTAAAGCTGGACTTCTCATCCTCGATGATTTTTGCAAGCCGCGCCGTGTCGGAGGGCGAAGCTTAATTAGACCTCCCAAGCAAACCGAACGGAACCGAAGCATGCGCTTCGGTTCGGTTCGGTCCGGTTTCTGCAGACCGTACGGTTCGACACACGACTAGACCCGAACGATATCACGTGTTTTTGAATCGAACGTTGTACGTCAACGTTGACTCAATCACACTTCGGTGACAGTGTCGTGAGTCGCGATTTATTTCGGACCTCTTCGTTTCCTCCCTTTCTGATGTCTCCTCCTCTGTTCTCCTCTTCCTGCGCCATATACCTTCCCACCGCGTCCTTCTTCTTCTTCTTCCCCTTTAGGAAGTCTCGTCCCATTAGCTCGTGCAGAATTTCCTGAAAGCCCCTGCGAGAGAGAAGCGGCCATTCCTGAGCCCGAGGCCTTTAAAGGTAGCTTCTTGACGTAGATATACAGAAAAGTTCGAACTTTGGGAGGGGTGCGGGGGAGGGAGGAAGGTATGGAGAGCTACCTGAACCAGAACTTTGGCGGTGTGAAGCCGAAACACTCGTCGGAAGAGGCCCTCCAGCGATGGCGGAAGCTGTGCGGCGTCGTAAAGAACCCCAAGCGCCGGTTCCGGTTCACGGCCAACCTATCCAAGCGGTCCGAGGCCTCCGCCATGAGGAAGTCTAACCAGGTCTGCTCGTGTATATCGGTGTTTATGATCGGTTGATTCTCTTAGCTTCCAGTTGATGCGATCTATATATTGTTTGACGGGGTTGTTGGATCCTGGACGTTGGGTTTGGAACCGACTATGCTACTGTAGTAGACACTCGATTGGACTGTGTATCTGCTGAGGGATTTCAAAGTTTCGTATCTAGAGATTTGAGAGCCCCATTGTTGTCGAGTTTTTTAGCTCGGGCATTGAGCAAAAGCTGGCTGATGTGTACTAATAGCTAGAACGAATTCTTGCAAGAAACGATGGTGACTGGTGGAAGCTAACTGGCCAGCAGATGAAACGAGCGCAGTGAGCTTGTCAAGATCGTGACATCACATTAGCATATCAATAGAGAAAAAGAGCATGTAATATAGCAATAAATGTAAAAGAAATCGTAATACGATCTTAACTAAGCTTAATCTAGTTGCATGCTCTCATCGATTTGATAGTTTAATAATGTAAGAGAGAATAAATGATTGGGGATAGGAGGATGCCAATCAACCTTTAGATACAAAAACTGAGTCTAAGGAGTCTTTATCCTCTTTTATGCTGATCCTGCATCATTATCTGACACAATGCATAATTGATTTGCTGCATCTATTGTTTGTATTTGAGCTGTAGTCAGAGTATGAAGTGAAGGCTTTTCTTATGGTAGACGCTAATATACTAACGTTATGTTTTTCAGGAGAAATTGAGGGTTGCTGTTTTGGTTTCAAAAGCCGCGCTACAATTTGTTCATGGTAATTTCCTGTATCACCATAAAGTCACAGTTTTAGATTCAGGAATACAGCAAACTTTTACTTCCTTGCACATAGGTTCTCTGAAAGCCTGACTTGTAGAAACATGCTTTAGGTGTGACCTTACCAAGTGAATATAGTGTACCAGAGGAAGTAAAGGCAGCAGGCTTTCGAATTTGTGCCGATGAACTGGGTTCAATTGTCGAGGGCCATGATGTGAAAAAGTTGAAAATTCATGGTGGTGTTGATGGAATAGCAGACAAACTTTCCACATCAATAGATAATGGACTGATTGCTTCAGAGGACAAGATGATGTGCAGACAAGAGATTTATGGAATAAATAAGTTTACTGAATGTCCAGTTCAGAGTTTTTGGGTATTTATATGGGAAGCACTTCAAGACACAACACTTATAATTCTTGCGGTGTGTGCCTTTGTATCTCTAATTGTTGGCGTGTCTGCAGAAGGATGGCCAAAAGGCTCACATGATGGGCTTGGGATTGCTGCAAGCATACTTTTGGTTGTCTTTGTCACAGCAACGAGTGATTACCGTCAATCTTTACAGTTCAAAGATTTGGATAAGGAAAAGAAAAAGATAAGTGTACAAGTTACAAGAGATGGGTTCAGACAAAAGATCTCAATATATGATATACTTCCAGGTGATATTGTGCACTTGGCAATTGGAGATCAAGTCCCTGCTGATGGGTTATTTATATCTGGATTTTCATTGTTAATTGATGAATCCAGTCTAACGGGAGAGAGTGAACCTGTGGTTGTTAATTCTGACAATCCTTTTCTTTTATCAGGAACTAAGGTTCGAGATGGTTCTTGTAAAATGTTGGTAACCACAGTTGGCATGAGAACCCAATGGGGTAAGCTGATGGCAACACTTGGTGAAGGAGGAGATGATGAAACTCCATTGCAGGTCAAACTGAATGGAGTTGCAACTATCATAGGGAAAATTGGTTTATTCTTTGCAGTTGTAACATTTGCAGTTCTAGCTGAGGGGCTAATTAGACATAAGATTCAAGATGGTCTGTACCTTAGCTGGTCCATAGATGATGCACTTGAATTGTTGGATTATTTTGCCATTGCAGTTACTATTGTAGTCGTTGCTGTTCCTGAAGGGTTGCCCTTAGCTGTGACCTTGAGTCTTGCATTTGCCATGAAAAAGATGATGAATGACAAAGCATTAGTTCGCCATCTTGCTGCTTGTGAAACTATGGGTTCAGCCACATCAATTTGCAGTGACAAAACTGGGACGCTGACAACCAATCACATGACTGTAGTGAAAACTTGTATATGTGGCAATATTAATGAGGTAAGTGATCGTGAGGAAGTTAGAAACTTCACCCAAATTCCAGATAATGCTATCAAGATACTCCTGGAAGCAATCTTTAATAACACTAGTGGAGAGGTTGCTCTCAATCAAGAAAGAAAATTTGAGATCCTTGGAACACCAACTGAGACTGCTTTGTTAGAATTTGGTTTGTCACTTGGTGGAGATTTTCAGGCTGTGCGTCAAGAAACCAATCTTGTCAAAGTCGAACCTTTCAATTCTGTAAAGAAAAGAATGGGTGTAGTGCTCCAACTTCCAGGAGGAGGATACCGTGCCCATTGTAAAGGTGCTTCAGAAATTATATTGGCTGCTTGCAGCAACGTTCTAGATCCTGCAGGTACTGCTGTTCCACTTGATGAAGTTACTGTTGGTCATCTCAAGAGTACGATTGATACCTTTGCTAATGAAGCTCTTCGCACTCTTTGCCTTGCCTATATGGAGATTGATAAGAGCTTCTCAGCTGATGAGCAAATTCCTGTTGATGGTTACACCTGTATTGGAATTGTCGGCATTAAAGATCCAGTTCGACCCGGTGTAAAAGAGTCTGTTGCAGTCTGTAGATCTGCTGGGATTACTGTGAGAATGGTCACTGGTGATAATATAAATACTGCAAAAGCCATTGCTCGGGAATGTGGTATTCTTACTGATGATGGAGTGGCTATTGAAGGCCCGGACTTCAGAAAAAAGAGTCTAGAAGAAATGAATCGATTGATTCCGAAGCTTCAGGTTCTTTTTCTCTGACCTTCACTGAGGCATTAATTCATATGCATTAAATTAACAAAAGAATCTTCTTGTTGACACGCTAATTTATGTACAGGTAATGGCTAGATCTTCACCATTAGATAAGTATACATTGGTAAAGCATCTACAAACCATGTTTAAAGAAGTTGTTGCTGTTACTGGTGATGGCACAAATGATGCTCCAGCACTTCATGAGGCAGATATTGGACTTGCAATGGGCATTGCGGGAACTGAGGTAACTAACCTAACATATTTGCCCTTCCTGATAGCTTAACTATAACTCAGTGAAAATATGGTGGCAATTCAAGTTGTGCATTCCCACAATATACTTTTTTGTAAATTGAGCTGTTGTTATAGTTTTATTTAGGTGCTTTCATTTATAGTATAACGATACATTCAAAAGTGTCAAGTAATGTAAGTGAAAGCACTACCAGTTTGGAGGTCACAATTTTCCATTCTGATGTTTGTCAATTCTATGTTTAAATTCATGTATTTGTTGATCATGGAGTAGCTTAAAGTAGATAATCATTCTCGGTGATCATTCAAATTTAGTCATGGTTTGGGCCAGATGCTCCATTATTACTTAGTTGTATCTGCAATAATTAGAAAAACTTATTCTTAAAAAGCTTATTCTTGAATTGTATGTGATTATGCAGGTGGCAAAAGAAAGTGCTGATGTTATTATACTGGATGACAATTTTTCAACCATCGCAATTGTGGCAAAGTGGGGTCGTTCTGTATATATAAACATTCAGAAATTTGTACAATTTCAGCTGACTGTAAATGTTGTTGCTCTAGTTGTAAATTTTTCATCAGCATGCTTAACAGGTAAGTTTGTTCCAATGTTAATACTCAATCAATTATATACTTCTTAATTTTTTGGTATGAACTATATAATTTTACTTTGATCCTTCACCAGTCTCTTTATTTTCACCGCATTCATGTTAGGACATGCTCCACTCACTGCTGTTCAGCTGCTTTGGGTAAACATGATTATGGACACACTTGGAGCACTTGCATTAGCCACTGAGCCTCCTAATGATGAACTGATGAAACAAGCTCCAGTTGGAAGGGAAGACAATTTTATAAGCAATGCAATGTGGAGGAATATCTTTGGACAAGCCTTCTATCAGTTCATTGTGATATGGTATCTCCAGACAGAAGGGAAAGAGCTATTTCAACTTGTGGGCCCTGATTCTGATCTTACACTCAATACACTCATCTTTAATTCTTTTGTATTTTGTCAGGTAAAGATTCATGATTTACATGCTTATCTTATTACATTACTTCATGTTATTATATTAATTGATGGAAGAATACAGTGAATGATTAATGGATTATATTTTTACTAATGAAGAATGATATCTTTACTCCAGTATTATGCAACTAAAATTGCTTTCTAAGTCTTAGTCATTTTATGCAGACTGCTAAATTGAACAGGCATAACCATGCAAGGAGTCAACATCGTTTTTGCAAATAGTTCATAAGTAGGGAGAATATCTATGTATAACACCTCAAGAAAGTGATTATCAATCATTCATGTCCATTATGTTTGTTGTATGTATTGTTCAATGGTTCAGTTGTAGAAATATTCATATATTCATTTCTTCTGCCTGCAGGTATAATAGAGTGCAAACTAATTTTCAACAATATTTCAGTACTTTTTTTTCTCTCTGTTCCTTTAAGAGAAGCAAATACTTTGGTGTCGATCATGGTTGTTGACTTGTATACTTAGAAGTTAAGACTTTATTGCAGAATGCATATAACATACGAAACTGAAGTGCTCTTCTTTGAACATAAGGATCCTGTGATCTTATCTCATATTTTTTCAGATTTATCATTGGAAGATGATATAGATTTGCAACGATAAGTGCTCATGCAGATCTTTCTGGTTGTCTGTTCTTACATTACTATAAAATTCGCTAAGAAAGACATTTCTTTATTATCTGGATGGGCTTACCTAAATTGCTGATCTTGACTGGAAAATGAGTATGTTTGTTCACCAAAAAAAAAAATGTTTGTTCATCTTAACAATTGACAGCCAATTTGATTTTGATTGCAATTACTTGCTGAAGTGGGCACATAATTGTATGCTCTACATATCATGCATTCAGCATTTCTTGCAACTCTTTTTTCAATGTATTAGCAAATGCATTTAAATTTAACTAATATCTAGAATTTCGTTTGCAGGTCTTCAATGAAATTAGCTCCAGAGAGATCGAGAATATAGATGTATTGCATGGCATATTGGAAAACTACATATTTGTATCTGTCATTACTTGCACCGTCATATTTCAATTCATAATCGTCCAATTCCTTGGAGATTTTGCAGACACAACTCCTCTGACATTGTCAGAGTGGGTTGTGAGCGCATTGATTGGATTTCTTGGCATGCCCATTGCTGCCGCCATTAAGATGAATCCTGTGGATTCCAAGTAGAAAATCCAAGTGCAAAAGTGATGCAGAAGGCATTAAATTTGTGCTTTTCAGTGCTTTCCCTACCAGTCACGGTAATATTCTTTTGCAAAATGGGATTGCATCTCTGGTAATAGTCAGTTGGATTCCTGGCCATTTTTAAATGACTCTTCCAGATCATCTATACTCGAAGTGTTCATGGAGAGCTAACCAACTTGATACTGCAGACTGCTAACCATCTTTGTACTAGATCTGTCTTAATTTAATGCAATTCTACATTAGTTCCAAAATACAGTTTCTTCTTAATCCCAATTGATGTATATGTTACAAGCAAAATACTCATACTGATACATTAACTTAGTAATAATTTTTTCTTGACAGCTTCTCTTTATTTTGTTGTTACCTTGTCATATGTCAGAAACAGGTGTAGACAGTTGTAGTGCATTTTGCATGTGCAGGCCAATTGGGTTTTAATGAGTTTATCTGACCACATTTTATGCTTAGGCAAATTAGAGATTTTTCAGCAGATAGTTGAGTGAGATTAGAAAATAGATTTGACACATTAATCACACAAAGGAAGCTTTAAAAATATTAGTCAGCGGCCAGATTGATATGATATCAACATTGATTGATGCACCAACACTCATACGTAATATGATTCTTATCTGCCAATATTTGGTAGTTTGAAATGTTTATCAGACCGATAAATATCAACTTGATATTTTTAACCTAGTCTTGTTCAATGCTCATGAGAAGAGAGGGGTTGCTGACAACATGGATGAGAGTGAAGAAATTTTCCCTGAAGCTGCAGTTGAAGCAGCAGGACTGTCAACAATTAAAAACCTTTTTAACTTTATTTTAGTTGCAATTGACAATTGGGGTTGAATAAATGAATTAGTTCTTCCATCAAGCTGCAAGTTGCTCTGTGCAGATGCAGATTACTAAGATTAAGCCTTTTAGTTGCAATGCATGTTGGTAAACAATTATATTCTGACTCTAAGCATCTTTAAATGCAATATTTCAAATCACTCTTAGCTTGCAAAAGCCAATCCAAAGCTTCAAAGTAGTCAAGGGCTATTTAGAAGTGTTCAACTTGTGGCAAGGTTGGAAATCAGGTATGCTGGTTTCCTGGCTTGAATTCATAGATAGAGAAGGACAAGACTGGCCAATTTCTTAAGCTACTGAATACATTACAATCATCACTGCCACTAGCTACTGTACTTTGTACTTCAAGATGAACTAAACAGCTGCTGGTTTTTTGTCTGTCACTGCTGATTTACCAAATGGCATTTCATCATTCAGAGAGCCAGGAGGAGTGTTTTGGTTGCCAAGTCAAGATGGAGATGCCATTGTTTTTTCATTGAGTCTGGTAAGATTTGTTTACTTACTGCTCCTTGGGAGAGAGATCCTTGGCTTTGTTTTTGGTGTTTATCGTTTTCTGCTGCTGCTTCTGTGCCCAGTCCACTTTACTCCAATTACACCATCATTTTGACTGCATCACTGTGTAGATTACAAGACCCCACATTAGCTACTGGAAGTGGAGCCTTGGACATGTTCCTCACTCAAGTTTGGGGGGGCAAGAAAAGATTACAGTGGCACTATTCACATGCTGCTGTGGCCAGCATACTACATTAGAAAAGAAACTTGCAACAGCAGGTGGTAGAAACTGAGAAAGTCATTTGGCTTTTCTTTTGTCAGTGATCTTTTTATCAGATGTGACAGGTGAAACTTTGTATCTTTGGTAATTAATGTTAAGGAGCATTAGAATCTGTGGATCTGCTCAGCCATCATATGGATGATTGAACCAATTTAGCTGCTGTCAAACTTCTTTTAATTGTATAAAGTGAGATACTCTGGTTTGAAACATATAAGTGTGATAATTTCATTCAGAATCTATCATCATTGCAAAGTTTATGAACAAAGAACACCTCATTTTGGTGAAAATATAATATTATGAAACATCACATATTACACTAAGAAAAAGATCCAAGCAAAAAGAACCTCTTCACCCACATTACACACATTCATCTGGCATGCATGCAGCACCAGTGCATCTGATCTCATGATCTTTTCAATGTCAGGAAAGCATCCCAAGCACCTCCACTGAAAGTGGTTGGCTACAGAATCTTACAAGCAATGAACACCAGGCTCCACTTCTCACATTGGGAAGAACAAGTGTTGCTTTGCAGCTCTGTTCACAAGAACACTCCACAGTATCTGCCCTCACAGGATGATCTCTTCCAGCTTTTTGGCTTCGGTCAGTGTTCTTTCACTTTGAGCTGTAGCTTTAACCCTTCCTTTTCACCTCTTTCCCTTCTCTTTACAGAAACTGATGTGGGAAAGATCCTCTCAAAACCACAAACCCGAGCCTTTCAACTAAAACATCAATCAACTATAAGATATACATGCTTTGTCAGAGAATCAAGTCAATGCCCATAGACAACCTAAAAAAGGCCCTGCATGGGTTTGTGAACATTACTGCAATCTTCTCCTCTTGCTGCTTTCTACTGCAAAGGAGATGCTGCCATTGGCATCAACAGAGTTGTTGACAGTCTAACGATTTGCTGCCGATTGACTTAAAGCTAAATGTTTTGATGTGTGAAGCTTCTCTATCTGTCTCTTGGATCATCAGACTGTAGCAGGAGAAAACACGATCCTGTGTCACAACCCAAACAAGATCGTGTTCACCATCGAGTGTTCTTTAACATTGGAGACGATGGAATCTAAAGGTTTAGAACTTACAGTGTCCAATGGTCTGAATGATGAGATTGCACTCAGCTTGAGCTCCACTGACTTTTGAGTGAGTCTTTCATGCGATGCAGCAAGAATTGCAGCAGCAGCTACGACTGAAGGTCGATATTCCACTAGATTGATTGCTGCATTCAGCGACAACAATGGCAAAACATTGAAAGATTGAATGCTGAACATGATTGATCTAACTAGTATCTGACCTTCAATACTTGCAAGGATGAGCGTAATGGCCTCCCACGCCAAGTCTTCTGATCCATGTTCTTGGAATCTGGAAGCGAAATAGCTCAGATAAGAGAAAGGAGTGATCATGCTCATCTTCCACTCCAACGTACTCAAAATGAGAAGCTCCATCCTCTGTATGGCTTCAGTTTGGAATCGGTAGTCCTCTGTTCGGAACTCCGATAAAGCTGGGACTTTGAGTTCTTCCATCTTCACGGCCAAAGATAAGCAAGACAGTGACAGCAATCGAATTGCCCAGCTCTTATCTCTCTAATCCATTCAGTAAGAAACTTGGTCAAATTGCAAGTACCGGCACGCGAAGAGGAGGAAGAAAACTACATGATCTGCAACACCTACCATCGAGTCAATTGATCGATGAACACAGAAGTGGTCGAGGTAGCTGGCAGCCACGTACGCCGTTCTCATGCCGAGGCCAAAGAGGACCTTCATCTGCATCGGAACAGCAATAAAGACATGATGATCGAAAGCACAGAAACTGCGATGACTCGATGAATATATGGACGCGAACTAACCTTCAGAATCCATCGAACAGCATCAGAACGAGCAGATTTAAGCGAGTCATCGGACGATGCAGCACGAGCTCTGGTGCAGCAGCGGTTCTCTTTGCTAAGCAGCAACTCTATGTATTCATCATCCGTTTCAAGCATGAGTGTGTCTTCGCATAACACCTCGTCGTCTTTAAGGGAAGCCATGCAGCCCGAATCAGCCATGTTTGAGGTCAGAGTTGTTTGGTGGGTGAGAGAAGGCAAGTGTTTGGAGTGCTGTTCTTGAGCTCTCGAGCTTCTATAGAAGGGGGTATATTTGGTCCATAACCTTTCATGAACTCGAAGACTATGGACTCAAATCTACATGAGAATATTTGTTCGTATTTGCTGCTCTTTTTTGGGACACTGTTCTATAGATCCATTCTCTGCTTAGAACAAGGCAAAAAATGGAATCTCATTCAATAGGCTCTCCTCAGAAACGCATTCCATCTACAACCACAGATTTGACATGCAGCTAAAGAGCACACTACTTGCTTCTGCTGTCATATAGCTCTTCTCACTCCTCTTGCTAGCTAAATGCTTATTTCTGCTGTTACAAATTCTGCTGCTATGGCTGAATTAGTAACATTCAAAATGGAAAAGATGTATTTCTCCCTTTAGATCAATTATAATTCGTGTTACGGAAAGATCAGTGAAGATTCTCTTGTTCTTCAGATTCAGTCACGTGACCCAAAATTCTCTGTGCCCGACTAATCTGAAGAACTTAACCAAAAACCAAAGCTGAAGACGATCACAATGTCTAATTGGCACTCTTCTTCATTTCATAATTAATCTCGCGAATCCCAAGCAGGTCAAGAGTGAAGAAGATGAGGGGATGAACCTTAGTAATCCTCTAATTGGGTCTTGTGAGTAGGCCTGATGGGTTGTCTCCATGTTGATGGCATTAATGTTGAAAGACTGGATCAAGAATCTTATAGGAGCATTGATTAAGATGCACACAGTAACATTGGTAAACTAAAAAGATTGGCAAAAGCTACACAAGATCCAAAACCAGACCAAGTTGGCATCTCCTACAAGTCTTATCTGATACTCGTTGTGGGCCTCAAGACCTATGAAGATCTACCAACTTTTAATTGCCTTCTGCTACCTCAGTCTTTGTTAATTCTGGATTCTTGATTGAAGCATTGTGTCAGTGTTAGTCACTTCTGTTGCAACCTCTGAATGATTGGAGCTCAGCACTGCAGTGGATTAAAGAACTGGATTCTAAGCATGTTTACACAATGATCATTCAGTAAGCATAGCTAAGTTCTTTTGTGCTGAATAATGCAAGACTTTATTCTTATTTTTCAGCTGCATATAAATTGATAAGCTTCTCATTTATATGCACATAGATGTTCATATAAAATATTACCGAAAAGGACAAGGCTTTTTGGATAAAACCTTTTATTTTGTTGCTGAGACTCAAAAACAGAAGTATCTGATAATTCAAATCCATTTAAAACTTTCTGCATATATTTTTTATTTTTATTTAATTAAATCTCTCTGCATTTGTTTCATTCTAATTCCATCTTGTTCCATCAAAAAAAAAAAAAACCTAATTCCATAAGAATAGTTTGCAGCATATTCACAAGAATGATGTTGATTTATTTATCAGATACTCTCCTTACCTTTTGTCAGTCACTCCATGACACCTTTCAAGTATGTGTAAAGGCAGCAAATTTCCAGAAAGGAAAGAAAAGAAAATTCTGAAGTACAAATGCATAGTAGACTGATTTCTTTCAAGCAAAGGGGGTTTATTGTGAGAACACCAGAAATATACTTGGACTGATCTCCATCTGACCTAAAATCCCAGAAAGGAGCCAATATGGCCATTAAAGAACTTTTAAGAGAAATGTACTTGGACTGATTTCCATCTGGCCTAAAATCCCAGAAAGGAGCCAATATGGCCACTAAAGAACTTTCTGAGGTAAAGAACACACACACTGCCCACACAAACTTTCAGATAACAAAGTGGGAATTTGCTTTCTTACAGTAGCATGATTCAGAGAGCACAGATAGCAGAGACAGGCTTTGTGAGGCTAATTAGTCCACTGCCATGCAATTGGCACAGGGCTTGTGTCATAGATGACTAATGTATTAACTTTGTTGTGTATGAATCATTCACTCCGAATGCTTAGTCGATAATTAACTCATTAAATTTATTGAGCTTGAATCATTAATTAAAATATTTAAATTTAAATTAATAATAATGCACCCATCAGATAACATAATTTGGATTCATACATTACAGTATGATTCCAAATTAATATCGTCCTAAAGAAAAGGTTTTCGATTGTTTGAATTGGAATTGTATATCCATTATTACAGTATCAATGAGGCTTTTGTGCAAAAGTGAATAGTTTCGCCTGGAAATGTTCATTTGCATGTGAGATTTCGGATGATCAAATAAAGGCCAAGAAACACAGTTATGAGGATATTGAAAGTGCAAGATGAGATTTGAGCTTCTGGAATATAATAGAATCAAATCTAACCTGATGATGGCTCTGATATACTCTGGAATCTCATCTGTAAATAATCTTTTCATTCTTATTATTGTTAGGGAGGGAGAGAAAAAATTAAAAATCAAAAAAGAAATTTATCGAAGATTAACGGTTAAAAAAACATACCAAAAAAACGTAAAACTTGAATTAGTTCGATAAATCCTACTTACATTCATAAAAAAAATTAAAATTTTTAATATATAAAATCAATTATAAGACTTCCTAAGTTATTTAAGTATGACTCCTCTTGTATACCTCTTACATAAATTTAAAATTTTCTCTCTCAACCTTCTTTAGAAACATTAGAGATCATCTCTTGAAGCACTCATAGTATTTTTATCTCTTCGTTATATCATAATATTGAGACTCAAAAAGTATTTATAGGAACAAACTATAATTTATTAAAAAGTTTTTATTTAATTAGGATTCTATCAATTAATTTAAATATAATTAAAATCCTAAAAATATTTATGAATGTTATATTTAATATTAGATCAACTCTATCACTATTTATCATAATCCAATGAGATAATTGATTCAAACTTTTCAAAGTCTAAATCAATCTTTCAAAATACTTAAATCCAAAATATCTTACCCGTTTTAAATGTGAGAATAAACTTGTGGTGTCACAGTTTATCTGAAATAAATATAGGCATTCTGGACTTCTCATGGAGATCCACCTTTGTGGATAATGACTCCAGTCACTGTCTTCTTTGTAATCAGTCCTCCATGTCATACAGAAGACAAAAAAAAGAAAAAGAAAAAACCAACCATGAATTAATCTCTCCACATTTCTACTCCATGAACACAAACTAAGCTGCTGGAATACAAAGCTGAGTAGCTGTCAAACCTTGTGGAATTTGTCGGATCTGATGCCATTCTCCTTTCTCATTGGTAACCAAACGAAATTATCTGCCCTCTTCAATGGTACTGAAGAGAAAAGCCAAGGATTCAAAGCCAGGACCCTACCTCTCTACTGTCGCAGCTCCTGCATCATTGCCATGAGAGAGAGACTTGCAAGTGCTACATTTCAAAAGCAGTCATGTCATGGGTCACTTCTGCTTGTGTCTCTGTGAAGCTGAAAGCTACCGCATGGCATTTCTGTTTAAATACCTGTTGTTGACGCTCTTGATGGATGAACTGAGAAGGCAGTCTACTTGAGAAGTGAGGGTGGCTTGGCTACACTTTGTATAAACACCAGTATATTAGTATATTAGAAGAACAACTTCTTAGGACATGTAGCAGTCAACTATGGGTTTTTACTTGGTTAATTATTTATTATCTTATATGCTTAGATCCTATTAATATCATAATTTTTATATTTAAAAAATTTATTTTAAGATTTTTATAATTTTAAAAATAAAAATAAATAATTTTATTTATCCTAATATCATCAACTAAATTGATAAAAAATACAACACGTGGACCGATACAAAAGTGATTGAACAAAAAGATAATTTCAATATCATTTTCGTTTTTAATGATTTTACTGATAAAAAAATAAATTTAATATTTCATGTGTCGAAAATAAAAAAAATATTAAAATTATCTTTTTGTCTACCACTTTAAAAGGTGTCATGTGTTTTCTGTTTAGATAACGTAGATAAAGACATCTGAACAAATGGAATTATTTATTTCAACTTTCAAAACTATATAGATAGATCATAATGTAAATCTTCTAAATAGGTATGAGTATAAAGGATAATATATAATTAGTCTATTTTTATTGTAGGATATTATATCATTATCTGTAAATTATTGGATATTAAATTCTAAGTTCATATCTATTATTGCTAAATTTATAATATATAATCAACTTTGATCGTCAAAAAAAAAAATCGTCAACCTAACTTGATGAAATTGATACGATCGATCCTATTTTTTGAGTAACTGTATCTGAAAAATTATTATTTTTAAGATAATACAATCATGACTTCAAACAAAATTTATGTGTTTGTGTCGTGTATATACAAAAGATTAAATCGGTTGTACTAAAAACTCAAGTCATTTTAGTACTGTCTAATAAGGTTGAAATGAAAACAAGGATCAATTTGGCCCAAAATTATAATTATTTCTGACCTTCATCTGAGTTTGGATTTTTTACACGAAAAAAAAAACATTTATAAGGAAGGCATTTAATTGCAACTGCTTCTAATTAATCATACAATGTTCTCGTACTGATCTGCATGTTTGTTTTCATGAGATTGATATTAATATGCAGCATTAGAGAGAAGATTATGAACAATTTCAAGTATCTCATGCAACAAAATCAAATCCATCTTAAAAAAATAAAACAAGAGAAAAAATAAAACATTTTTTTTAAATCGTCACTGAAAAAATAGAATTCATTATTCACACAAAATCTTATGCTTCCCATTTTTCGAAAAGTTTTACAACGTTTGAAAATAGAATATTTATTGATAATTTTTTTAATGTAGTATATATATCCTATCAAATATTATAATATCTTTTAATCATGATTAATATTATTTTTAAAAATTACCCAAAATATTATCACAAAATTAAATTTTAATATATTAAACATTTATAACATTTTAGATTTTGAAAGAATCTACATATTAAACTAAAATTTATAGAAATAAATGCGTAAATCACTGACTTTGCATATATATATATATATATATATATATATATATATATATATATATATTTATTATTAATACTTTCTTCTTCTTCGTCGTCAAGATTTGACTCCTTACACCGACTGGTCTCCGACGACCAAATAATAAATAGCGGAAA